GGATTCGATTCCTAGCATCTACATGATGGTTAACAACCATGTGTAACTCCAGTTCCAAGGGAATGCAACAACCTCTTCTGCAATAACCTCTTCTGATGTCCACAGGCATTCCAGGCAATATACACAAAATAAAAACAATAAATAAAGTATTTTTAAAAAGTGTTTCATTGGTGCTGGAGAGATGGCTCAGCGGTTAAGAGCACTGACTGCTCTTGCAGAGGACCCGGGTTCGATTCCCAGCACCCACATGGCAGCTACTAACTGTCCTTAACTCCAGTTCCAGGGGAATCCAATGCTCTCTTCTGACCTCTGAAGCACTGCACGACACGGGTGCACTCACATACATGCAAACAATACATTCATACACATAAAATAAAAATTATCTATATATTATATATTTATATAATATATATATATATAAAGTGTTTCATGTAGCCAGGCTGGCCGGAAACTCACTATATAGCCAAGGGTCCTGAATTCCTGATCCTCTTGCCTCTGCCTCCCAGAATGCTGGGATTACAGGTGTGTACCACATTGCTTGGCTGTCGTTTTTTTAAAAAAAGATTATATATTATATGTATATGATATATTATTATTATTATTTTTGAGACAGGGTACCCCTGTACCCCCTTCTGGCCTGGAACTATGTAGACCAGTCTAGCTTCGATTTTACAGAGATCTGCCTGCCTCTGCTTCTGCCTCCTTGAGTACTGGGATTAAAGATGTGAACCACCATGACTGGCTATTTTTACTATTTTTTGATTCTTTATAAGTCTATTGGCGTGTATGTGCACATGGGTATGGGTGCTCACAGAGGCTAGAAGAGGGCATGGGATCCTCTGGAGCTGGGGTCACAGTCAACCAATGTGGGGTGCTGAGAACTGAACTCCAGAGCAGCAAGCACTCTTAACTCTTAAGCTATCTCTTGAGGCTCAATCATCTTTTTCAGTTTGCAGAATTTTTCCTCAACTGAACCTATTTTGAGCCCCCAAACCAGTTTCTGAAGGGGTTGCTCTGCGCTCCACTGACAGGGCAGTCAGGACTGTGGGCTCAGACAAATAGGCTGGAACCTGAGTCCCTAACATTTTCCCTATCCGGTCCTTCCTGCCTTTAACAGGGGGCAGTAATACCCTCACTGCCCAGACAGAACACTCTGAGAGGGTCATTCCTTGCCCAATGGCTGCCAGTAAAACAGTGAAGCCAGGCCTGGAAACCAGGTCTTTGGGTGCTGGAATTTGCAGTCTTCCCAGGAAGCCCCTGATGCCCTTGGGGGAAACCCCTCCCAAAGCTTGAGCTGACTAGGGGCAGGCAGAGCCTCCCAGATTTTGATCTGAAGACTCTCCTTGCAATTCCGGACTGAGGGTGTTTGTTGGAGGCCTGAGGGGGATGGGCTGGATGCTCAGCTTCCATCAAAACAGGCCCAGAGGGGAGGAGGGGAGGAAGGGATGAGGGGTGGAGAGCAGCCTGGGCCTCCGGCAGCTGTGAGGAACACTGAAATAGAGCTGAGAACCAGGCAGAGGAAACAAGATACCCTGGCGTTCCTTGGCAAGCACAGCCTCTGGGTTGAGCCCATGGGCTTCAAGTCCCTCTTCTTCAACTGCCACCTTCTGAAGGCCTGGCCCTCTCCAACCTCCTCCAGGAGCCCAGGATTTCTGCTGCTCCACTTTCTGGGAGAGGAAGTGGGTGTCGGAGCCCAGCAGATACTTCTTTCCTGCCTGTCCTTCCATATTTGGTCACTCAGTTCATTTTTCCTGTTCCTTTCACCATCTTTGTAAAATGGTGGCAGTCCCTAGCAGGATGACAACAGTTCCCTGACCCAGAGAGGAGTCATGTTCCCATGGAGGAAATGCATAGTGAACCATACTCATGCAGGCTCAAGTCTGGTTAGGGGAAGGCACACCTGACTGCAGCCTGGGAGCTGAGAAAAAGGCCTGGGATGTTCCTATGAGCATGTTATAGAAAGAGGCCCGGAGTAGAGGATTTCCCAACAATGTCAGCTCTACAGGGTAAAGAGTTTTTGTCTGGTTTGGTTTACTACCAAATACCTAGGACAGCATTTGGCCCATAGTAGGTAGTCAATCAACAGGTCCGGAAAGAAAGGGGTTGAGTCTGGGGTGGACATCTAAAATGGCTCAGTCATTCTGGGATCTGACAGTATAGTACTTCCAGGTGATTCTAGCTCAGGTGGGTGGGGCTTAGGCAGCGGGAGTGGCCTTATCTAATCCTACTGTGGGTGGTGTCAATTTCTTATCATAGCGCTGGAGCTACTTCCGGCCTGGGGTGGTTTTTATTATTTTTTTTCTAAGCTGGGTCCCCTGGTGCTTCTTGGAATGTCTGCAATCACATAGGTATGGAACCTGTGTTGGTTCCTGAGGCACAGATGACTCAGATTTAGGTCTGCCTTTCTGTCTGGAGGGGGAGACAGACGGTAAACAAGTGGCAATACTATGGGCAGAATGGATGGAAAGCAGGTTCAAGCAAATGATACAGAAGGTGACAGGAGCCAGAAGGAGGGGTGTTTGGAAGATGTCTGTGGAGGGGACCTGAACGAACGCTATCCCCTGGAAGGAGGGGCCAGTCCTTTTGTAGGGGCTGGGGTGAAAAAGTAGAGAATCCTAGCATGGTAGAACCTCGTACCATAGAGAGTAAAAGACCCTTCACTTTTGCCAGCTGATAGGCTAGGAAGTAGATGTGCTGCACTGACACACCGGGACTGCTAGGCCAAACGGGAGAGACTGCCTCTGCATTGCCCCCCACCCCCACACCCCAGGGCAGTACTTTCCCTCCCCTAGAAACCAACTGGTCCTTAGTCTGCAGGCCCTGCAGACACCAATGAGTCAGGCATCTTGTGAGTCAGTGTGTTGACAAGCCATCTCTGGCCATCATAACCCATCGAAAATGGAAGAAGGTCCAGAGGAAGGGTATGAGCAGACCGATTTAATTAGTGCGGGCCCTAAGGTACCTTAAGTTGGCCCTATTAAATTAAACTGCCTAAGGGAAAAAAATAACTGTAATTATTTCCTCTTCTTCCCTATCATTGTATTTCAACTCCCAACCTCAATGCTTCTTCCCACTTTGACAAAACAACCTTTAAACTAGGGGCTGGCAGATACCTCCGTACTAGGGCTCAGTGTTTCTCTTTTACTGCCCTTCTACCCTCTGAGCTCTGGGTCCCAGCAGACAGCAGAGTGAGTCCAGGGGGTCCACAGGGCATGTGTATTCTAATTTAGGGAGACTATTTGCATATTCCAAAAATGCACCCAGTCTCTTTCCAGAACCAGTGAAGATCTGTTTGCTGCGGGGCATTTTTTAAAAGCCCCCTTTCTCTCGTCTACAGAGCAAAATAAGCAAACTTTAATGGTAGGGAATTATTATTTTGTTGAAATCTAGTTCTGAGTTTTCCTACTTGAAACGTGTTTTCCCCAGGACACTGACCTATCCTTTAATTGTTTGGTGCGAGGCATGTTAGGGGGAGGGGCGTTACTTGTTTATTGGAACAGCGCAGTTAAAAAAAAAAAAAAATCAACCTAGGCTAACAGTTTCAAGGCTCCCCTAAAGATGTATCCAAACAGGCAGCCAATCAGCGCTTACACAGCTTTTTCTGCTTGACTCTTTTAAAGAGACAGTGCCAACAGTGTTAGCACATTTAAAGAGAGCCACGCTCTAAAAGCAGTCTGAAAATGGGGGAAGCTTTCCCTTATTTCACCAGTTTCTGGTCTTAAGCATCTCCAGTGAGGATACACTGCAGGCTTTTGGGGTTCTCGGCATGTACAGAAAGGAGTCAGAAGCAAATAGTTGGGTCACTCTGCCAGTACCCCCCCCCCATTTCCCATTGTACACCTGGGTCACTGACAATGGAAGCTTCCCCTCCCCCTTCGTCCCGCTCTGGTTCTCCCACTCTCCAATTTAGCACCATTTATTTGAAGTTTGCAGGTTTCCGCGGCGCGCATTCCGAGTCGCAAGGCGCCCAGGTGACGTCCCCCAACCGCCAAAGGAACCCTTTCCCGTGGAGAAGGCGAGGAGCTAACTTGCCAAGGGCTGGCAAACCTTGAAAATTTGGGAGAAATCGCTCTCCCTTCCAGTCCAAGTTCCCCATCCTTTCCTCCGGCTCCCCAAAGCATGCCAAGGGCCGTTTTCGCGCGGCTCCGCTCTGGGCTTCCCAAAGTATTTTAATGGTCTGGTGAAGGAGCAGCCGCGCGTTTTGGCGCCAGCTTCGGCTACCCAGCTCAGCATGGAGCCCGGGCGGGCGCTGGGGAAGCTGGGGAAGCCGGGCGGGCGCAGGGCGGCCGGGGGCGGGGCCCGCCGGAGCCTAGGGAGGGTCGGGGTCCGAGCCGCGGGAGGCCGAGATAA